TTAACACAAACCCAAAGACTGCTATTTGATTTTGACTCCCCAGTTCATGCCCTGGCCATGTTTATTTTATTCTGTTTAAAGTCAGAGCGCAGTGCCTGGTTGCCTGTGCTGGGAGGGGATTCCCAAACATCCTTTTGTTGGTGTTTATAATTCTTCAAACGCTGTCATGGTGTGTTAATCAAGGAGCTGCATTTCTGTAAATAAAGTGCCTTAATCCTGTGGCGTTGGAGGATCATTTCTGCGTTCAATAAGATCCTCACAGCAAAAAATCCAGTTGAAAGGACTTCGAAATTTGTTTGTGTTCCTGTTTGGACAGATTATTCCTAAGGATGCACAGGGCCTGCTGTGCAGGGCAAATGAATTCAGGTTTCTATCTTCTCCCAGGAGCTCTGCCCCCCTTTCTGGGAGTCGTACTGAGAACTGCTGGGGGACTGTGGGATGTGAACACCTCTATCTGCAGCTCGGAAATAAAACCCAAGGAAGAGGAGGCTGTTGGGAAACCAGCTTCATCAGTTGTGTGCTGCTATTCAGTCAGCTCTTTTTCATTCTTCAGTAGGGTAACCAGACAGCAAGTGTGAAACATTGGCACTGGGGGTGGAGGGTAATAGGAGCCTATATAAGACAAAGCCCCGAATATCAGGACTGTCCCTATAAAATCGGGACATTTGGTCATCCTAGTCTTCAGGGGTTTCTTTGGCTTTGGTCTGGACTTAGAATAGAATTTCATTGGTGGAAAGAACATTGACCTGGAAGGCATCCTCTGTCTAGTGCAGAGATGCTGAGAGACGCCAGCTGCGAGTGCCTGCGCTCACACATTGTAAATCCTGTTGTGTTAACCAGATTTGTGTGCTCTTTATTTTGAAAATTTGCCCTAAAACCTTTTCTATCCGTGGTGTGAGATTAATTTCCCTTTGTTGTTTTATGAAGTGACTTTCAGTGACAAAAGGCGGCATGGTGACCACTATAGTGATGTGTGGAAGGGCGGATGGTCTTCCAACAGGAGCTGTGGCTGCATTTAAGGAGTGGGATGAAGCTGCTGAGATGCTGTTGTGCCATGCTCACACCCTCCAGTCTTTCCAAGTCCACAGGCTGAGAGAGCCCTCTGGTTCGGGACTCCCACTTCTCATTCTTTGGAACACATCTGACCACACAGTCAAATCAGTCATTGCAATATCAACCTGATAATATAAGACTCTCCTGTGCTTGTGCAGCATCTTCCATCGTGTGGAGCCCAAAACAGTTTTCCAAAACTACAAACATCCAGGAATCATTTCACCGTTGCGATGTACAGAAGTGAAATGGTAAACTGGAAACAGCACAGGCGCCGTTTCGCAGGCTGGGATGGAGAGCACGTGTGACACCCTTTTGCTTAAAAGTAAACCTTTACGGAGAGTAATTAGGGAGCCTGCAGTGCCACCTATTTCTGCAGCTGAGAGTAGACTGCAAACACACCACTTACTTCTGGAATAAGGAGGCTTGTTTTTGCAAAAACAGTGTTTGAAGTGTGAGTACTTCAGGGACGTGTAGCTCCTTGATGAAGGAGTCTAATTGGTGGGGAAGACTCAGAAAGTGCAGCAGGAGTGAGATGCAGAAGTGTACAGAGACTTACAGCCCTGGCTCCACATGTTTATTGGCCACAATAAATATTTTCCTAATATCAGCCCTTCTGAGCCACTTCCAGCTGCTCTGCGGATAGATGAATAACTGGCCTCCTCAGAGCAGTCAGTTATTGAGCATGTAGCCTCTCTAAGACTTCGTATGCATTCTCTGCTGCCAGCCCAGTGTACAAACACCATAGCAAAATTCCTGCTGGCATTCTGCAGCTAATTCCCCTTGAACTGCTGGGGCATGTGGATGCTGTTAATAGTGTTGCTCAGTTGTGACTGGGTCCGGCAGGGCACACTGAGTCTGTGACTGCAGGCAGATTTCACAATGTGCCTTTGCTCCTTGGTTTGTAGTTAGTCCTTAAAGCCACTAATATGTAACCTTTACAGAGAGAGAGAATTGGGGCAGGGGAAGAAAAGCAAGATTAGACATGTATTCCCATGCACAGGCAGACATGTGCACACATTTGCACAGATAGGCACGTGTGTGCACCATTAAATTACCTTCCATGTGGGTGTTTGTATGCCTTGCACAAACAACACATGTGCCCACACAAATGCACATATGTGGCAGAGGGTAGGGACTGCCATAATGCTTTGCATAGAGACCAGGATGGTCCTTCTTGCAGAGCTGTGCAAAGTACCATGAGTGTGAAATGGGTTAGCAAAGCCTCCCTCCTGGCTTCTTTCATGGCCAGTTTCATTTCCGGGGAGAGCCCCAGCTGGCAGATGCATTCAAACAGCATCCAGTTTGCCACCGTCAGTGACCTGACAATGTGTGTTCCAAGTGACTAGGCCCACTCTGGAGTGTGTGTGTGCATAGTACCAAGATTTGGGCAGTTTTGTGTGTGACATCTATGCAAATTATATAATACGTGCAGGGGGGGTGTTACAATTTCACATAGTATAACTTGTTTTTACCTTTTTTCTTAAACCCCCCTCAACCATTCCCTCCCCCCCGCCCCCCAACACAACACACCCTAGGAAAGTACGTACCAAAATACATATTAAAGGAGTATTATTTAGGTCGCAAAGTCAAACACTTGAAAGTTAAGAAATGCCAGATGTAAGGAACATTACTGCTGCCCCTGTTGTTTATCCAGTATAAAGAATTTGGCACATTCAGTCTGAAAGGCAGTGTGGTCAAGCGAGATTTGGGCTCTGTTGCCAACTCTACTAAGTGTCCTTGTGCAGCCGCAGTGATCTCTCTGTGAACTAGGTGAGTGATAGTTGCCTTCTCCGGAGATCAGTTTTGAGGCCTTGGTTAATAACAAGGCTGGTGAAATACACAGAAATACAGTACACTCTGGAGAAGCTGGGCTACTACTCAGCCCTCCTGCCTCTCGGCACAGTGCACTCTGCTGCAGGGGACTGTGTGTGGTTCTTGTTTCCTCGATGCTTTACCCAGCATGCAGTGTTGAATGAATTTAGATAGAACATATGGGCCAAAGGTGTTAACATGGCCCCAGTCACTGTCCAACATTAAACAGTTCTAAACAAGGTTTGAGGTATCCAGAGACCTCAGTCTGCTTGGTACCATGGTGCAAACACCAGTAAAAGTTCTTCTAAACTTTTATTAAAGACGCAAGAAAGACAGAAAAAAGAGTTCAAACATTTGAAATGTAAAGTATTAAGTCAGGCTTTCATTTTACCAGCATCCCTTGTTCCCTTTCCCTTTAGCTGGAGCGAGTTTTTAAAGGGAAAAGCCCCCTTGTTGGATAGTCGTTTAGGTGGTATCAAAGATGGTAAGAACTGTTCTTTTATCAGAAAAGAGAAGAAGTTAGTTAAGATGGGTTGGAGCTGCCATCATTGCTGTTGTTGTTCAAGTCCAATCCTGTTTCCTGAGAAAACAAAACAATACAAACACACACAAAAGAGAAGAGAAAGGAAGGAAAAGAGAAAATGCAGTTTCTGTCTCTGGTGTTGACTTTCACTTGCAACCTCATTGCTTGGACAAACACAGGCCCACCACATGGTTTACAAGCCACTCCGAGACCTGGCAAACTTGTACCAACATAGGGCTGTTTAGGGCATTGCTTTTATCCACCTCTTTCTAGCCACAGGCATACAACAGTGTTGCAAAATATACAGTCTTGGCCAGCTAAGCCAGACTTGTATTAGACAGAAGGAAAAAGGAGAGGGATAGGAAAAAGAAGAAATAAGATGGGGAAGGGAAAGGACTCATGGGGGCTGGGGGAGAGAGAGACAGTCTCCCATCTGACTAGCCAGTGGAGGTGGCAGTGTCATCTGGGTCTGGTCAGGAGGAAGGAAGTGGAGGGTGGCGGCCGTGATGGTGAAGTTCACTCCTTCCTCTTCTCGTCTTCCAGTCAGCCAGCATCGGCCTCCATCTGTGCCCATATTTTCCACCCAAAGGTCTTTTTGAATAAAAAGCCAGAGGAAGTGATGATAGGCCCAATTTTGACACCAGCAGGCAGGCAGAGCTGTGTGACGCTCGGCAGGTCTTCATGTGTGCCTGTGTGGCCACGTGTGCCACGTTGCAGCTTGTCACTGGCCCAGGGTAGCGGGTTGTTAGTTATTGATTGAGGGCCAGGGGCATGGATGGGCTCATAGGTGTGTCACACTCTGCTTGCTATTGGCAATCCTCCAGGAGGGGGAGGAGCATGAGAGGTTACAGAATGAGGGGAGGAAGGAAAGAGAGTGGGGGGAGGGTAACTTGTGTGTAATCCTCCATCGGAGCATGTACCTTTGACCTCCCAAACATGAGGCAGAGGCCATGGGAGGAGTTGCCCCAACTGTCCTGGCTGAATTCCTCTGCACGCAGGGCAGACTTGGTGGACAAGCTGTCAGTATTAGGCTGAAGTCCCACTGGCACTGCCTGTAGCTTCTATGAGGCAATGTGTCCTAGTGGATAGAGGATTGGGACTCCGAAGACGTTGGTTCTATTCCAGGTTCTGCTGGGTGACCTGGAACAAGTCCCTTCCCCGCTCTTTGCCTCAGTTTCCCCATCTGTAAAGCAGGGCTAATGATACTGATCTGCTTTATGACATGCTTTGAGATCTGCCTACGAGAAGTGCTAGATAAGAGCAAAGTCTGAGGGCCTCAGCAAGACTTCCAAGGATGTGAGTCAGGGTTTCGCAGAGGCTCCTGTTTCAGGCTGTGGCTTCAACCCCTAGTGCCTGTTACAAGCTGTGGGATTTTGGTGCCAGGATTCCCCTCAGTAGGAGTCATGCAGCCAGAGCCCTGAGCAGTGCCCCCGGGGCAGAGGAGTGGGGTATTCTCCTCCTGTCACTGGGTCGCCATGGGAGAACAGAACAGACCTTCGGCTGGGGAGTTCCTGTCCTCGGCCCAGGTTCTCCTCTCACCCCCTCAAGTGTTTACAATGAAGCTGATGCTGTGCTCTGCCTTACTGACCTTTCTCTGCTGTTTCCTCCTCAGAGCCTGCGCCAGCAGTGAGACAGAGAGTGAAGCTGGGGACATCATGGACCAGCAGTTTGAGGAGATGAACAATAAGCTGAACTCAGTAACTGATCCAACCGGCTTCCTGCGAATGGTCAGCAGGAATAACCTCTTCAACAGGTGAGAGCTGGACCCTGCACCCAGCAGGACGCCCCTGTCGCCAGCCGAGGGGTGCAGCCAGCACAGCAGGGAGATGCTTCGTTTCTTGAGGGGCTTCTCTTTGGTGTGTAGGATTCTGCCTCCTGTCATGGAACAAATGTGAACTCGCTCCCCAGAGGTGCAGCTGAGAACAGAGCTGTTCAGAGTGGGAACCATGTTCTGTGATGTGCTGCCCCTGCCAGTAACCTCCCTGATGCTCTGCTATAAGGCCTCTTAAAAAGGGTGGCAGAGGAGTTTGTCAATGCTACATGCACTCCACAGCCTATGAGTGTGCATGTGTGTCTGTCATTTCACCAAGCAGCTGTCACTGCAGTCCCTGGGGCTTCCCAGTGCATTAGGTCTGCATGGCAGGTCCCTGGTGCGCATGAGGAATCTGTTCTTCTCCCCTCCCTGGGATACACATTGGCTTTTTGTCTTTCTACCCTTCCTTTCCCTCCCCTGTTAATTTAGTTAGACTGGGAAAGGCTTGCTCTGAGAGGAGGATCTTGCACTGCGCCTTGACAAAGGTCAGACTGGATAAGTCTGCTTCCATGGCTGGTTCTTCTCAGTGAGTTTTCTTTGGTGCTAGGGTGCTTTGTCCTGAAATTGTGAAATGGAACTAGTGCTTGGGGAGACGCCAGCACAGCATCGAGTGTGTGGGGAAGGGATGCCCAGCGAGGTGCTAGCCCAGCGTGGAGCACAAAGGAGGGCGCTTGGTGGCCTGTCAGTGAGCAGGCAGCCATTGTAGGTGAGGCTTGCTTTCCATCCTAGATCCGGCTTAGGGGGGTGTCTGGCATAGCTGCTAGAAACTCAAATCCTAGAAGTTAAAGGAGGGAAAGCCCTGCTAGGTCCTCGAGGGGCTATGGCAGTGACATGCCCATATCCCCATGAAACCCAAGAGCTCTGCACAGCCAGGTAAGGAGAAGGGGCAGTGAGTGGGGCATGTGACTGCCTCGCTCACCCAGAAATACAGTGCTGGCCGGGGCTTTGTTGTCATCTGAGCAGTTAGGTTTGGGGGCCATTGTGGACCATGTTTCTGGGAGGGGATCAGAGATTTTCAGGATCGTGGAGTGAGCAAGAAGGGAATTGTAAGTAAGGTTAAGGTGTGGCTCTGTCCCAAGGAGCAGTGGCAGGCACTCTGATAACCTCACCCTGCCCTTTGTCCCCATCCCCTCCCATGTGCCCTGTTCTGGACTAACGGAGAATTTGCAGATAGAGATCGTGTCTTCGTCCCTGAGGCATGGAGTGAAGAGCTCTCTGTTTGTTTGCCGACTGTAGTTTCTCCTGGAAATGTTTGCTTCCCATTAATTTTAACTATGTCATTAATTAGCTGGGGAAATTATAGCACGGTGCACCGGCCGCCTAATCTTTGTTCATTTTCTGGGTCTTTGGAACTAGCTCAGGTCTCAGCCAGTCCCATCTCTGCGCTGATTAAACTGAGTCTGAGTTCAGGGTACATCGACACCTTTGCAACTGGAAAGGAGTCAGGCCGGCTTGCAGTGTTTAATGTGACTGCTGGAGCACGTGAGCTAGGACAGAGGCTCCCCCGAGTGTGAACCTGGGGCTGAAATGCTGGCACCAACATCGGTCCATTTCCCCTCTCAGAATTTCCATTTGCTCCCATTCAAACTTCCCCAACAATGATGACTAGGGCACCAGTTGGGGATCAGGAAGGCGTTCCCTGGGGACTGCTGGGGGGCTTGCCTGTTTTCCACACTAGCTATGCCCTCTGATTGCAGGAGAGCGATGCGCATCAATTCTATATCCGGGCTCACTGCAAGTCAGTCATTTGGTACCTGAATGTTTTTTCTGTCATGTGGAAGCCAAGTGCATCTTCAGGTGTGTGAAGTGAGTCTCCTGGGAGTCGCACATGCAATAAGTCAGTTTGCAGATGCTGGGAGAGGCATGGGGACTGCCTTCTATGACGAGATAACTGGCTCTGTGGATGAAGGGAAAGCAGTGGACATGATACTCCTTGACTTTAGCAAAGCTTTTGATATGGTCTCCCACAGTATTCTTGCCAGCAAGTTAAAGAAGTATGGGCTGGATGAATGGACTATAAGGTGGATAGAAAGCTGGCTAGATCATCGGGCTCAATGGGTAGTGACCAATGGCTCGATGTCTAGTTGGCAGTTGGTATCAAGTGGAGTGCCCCAGGGGTCAGTCCAGAGGCTGGTTTTGTTCAACATCTTCATTAATAATCTGGAGGATGGCGTGGACTGCACCCTCAGCAAGTTTGCAGATGACACTAAACTGGGGGGAGTGGTAGATACGCTGGAGGGTAGGGATAGGATACAGAGGCCTAGACAAATGGAGGATTGGGCCAAAAGAAATCTGATGAGGTTCAACAAGGACAAGTGCAGAGTCCTGCACTTAGGACAGAAGAATCCCATGCACTGAATGGATGGATCTAGACTGTTCTCAGTGGTGGCAGATGACCGAACAAGGAGCAATGGTCTCAAGTTGCAGTGGGGGAGGTTTAGGTTGGATATTAGGAAACACTATTTCACTAGGAGGGTGGTGAAGCACTGGAATGGGTTCCCTAGGGAGGTGGTGGAATCTCCTTCCTTAGAGGTTTTTAAGGCCCGGCTTGACTAGATGACCTCCTGAGGTCCCTTCCAACCCTGATATTCTATGATTCTATGACTCCAGACACTGACCTAACTTCCTCCTAGTGAGAGACGTGAAGTAGGAGGCTGCGTTTCCACCTTGAGCACTGGAAATGATCTGTATCTCCTTGCTGATCTCATTAAATATATTGAGATCCAGTAGAATAGCAAACTACCCTTCTGTGGCCTGTGTGAGACCCACCTGCTATGTGAATCACTTTTCCTGGAAATTAGGGAAATCCAGGGGAGTTTTAGTGACCGCCATAATCTTGCCCCAGCCATTTGATTCCTGGCCCAGGCTTGGAAGCGAAGTGAGCTAATGCTGGGGTTTGACTGCCCTGTGCTGGCGAGGCTAGGCGTCTTCTCTCAGGTCAGCTCCTGACAGAGAATTAAACAAAGGGTTGTGCACAGCGGGGAGGGCAGAGGGAGCTTTGCAGACCAGTGATGCTTTTCTGTATTCAGTACTACTGCACTGTGTGTTGTGGACTGTGCAGCTGGTGCCACGTGACACACACAGCCTGGGACAATGGGGAGAGCTTGCTCCTCACACCCCAGTTTGAGCAAGGAGTCAGGTTAAGTTCTACATGACAAAGAATTAGGCTGGAAGGAGAGAAAATGGGAATGGACAGTGTTCCCACTCTGCTGATGCCCAGAATGAACAAGGGATGTCTGGCCTTTCAGAGAACACTGTGGAACACTGTCCATTCTCATTTTAGGCTCTCAGACTAAAATCAACTGGATCAAATAGCGAGCAAGAATGAAAGCCACCGTCTAGTTCCCCAGGGCATGATTGCTAGTCTACCCAGGCAGCATTGGTATGTTAGCGCCTCCTGCTGGTTGCGTATGTGCCTATGAGATGCAGAAGCAAAGGACAGGGTGTTGTACAGAAGTGAGGGGGACTATATGCCTTTTAACAGGAAGCTGTAAAACCTGAGGATACCCAGCAGCAGGCACTAAGCTAGCTGAGACGTCAGCCACATCTTCTGCTCCCAAGTTCCATCCTGGACCTGAGAAACCTTTCCAAGGACAGAACATTACACTGAACATAAGAACAGCCGTACTGGGTCAGACCAAAGGTCCATCTAGCCCAGTATCCTGTCTTCTAACAGTGGCCAATGCCAGGTGCCCTAGAGGGAATGAACAGAACAGGGAATCATCAAGTGATCCATCCCCTGTCGCCCATCCCCAGCTTCCCTCCCATCAGTTCCCACCCAGCTCTACAGCTTGGCTGCTGCCACCAGAGTCCTGTCTGAGTGGTGCCAGGCCCCGAAGCATGGAGGTGGGATCGGCAGCCTTATCTCTGGTGTTCCCTGTGTGACCCTCTCCCCCACCCAGGGTCACACTGCAGTCCCTATTGGGCCTGCCTTAGACCAGATCAGTGGGAGGTGCAGCACGTGATCTCTCCCCTTTTCTCTAGGGAGCTTGCAGGGTCACTCTTGGGCCTCTTTGAGGGCGGGAGCAGAGTGACACTGATATGCAGTCACCTCCACACCCTGGTTTGCGCTGTTCTCTCCCCTTTCTGGGCAGGGGCTCCCTCATGCAAAGGGTGAGCTCAGCAACACTGCAGAGTCTGGGCAGCGTTGAGGTATTGTCCCAGGCATTAGGGGAGAACACACTGCACACAGCCAGCCCAGGGACACTGTGGCTCAGACCTGCTGGTAGGCAGCAGCAAGCGCATGGGCAGGAAACCGGCCCCAGGACCCTGTAAATGGGACCCATGGCCAGGCCTTTTCACTGACACCGAGAGCTGCTGGGATGGGAAGTGTGTGCACACGAGAGAGGGGGAAGTTGGCAGGTGCCAGGTCTCGCATGTCATGCACAAAGGAGCTTTGTCCTTCCTCCCCTTGTGCGGATTTGTTCTCCCACTCCAAGGGTTTGGAAAGTGAACAATTTATGTTACTGCTTTGGATTTGGACTAATAAAAAAAATCTGAGTGGTAAGCTGATAAATCCAAGGCTGCCTGGCTGCAAAACCCTTTCAGGATGGAGACTTTGCCGATTAGAGTAATCAAGCCGCCTGTAATAAATGTCTGTTATAATTATTTAATGGTGAGAGAGAGAGGATCATAGTGCCACCTGCTGGCACATAGCTGCTTTCTGCAATGCCGGGACATTACTCCTGTGAATAGCCCTCTACACCCGTCCACCCCAAAGAAGCAATTGGACATCCCAGTCCTGTGGAGCTTGGAGGTGAAGGAGTGGAGTGATGGGGCCTGGGTGGAGCTGGGGAAATATCACTTGGATTTCCTGAACTGATTTTAAAATCTGCACTTTGCAAAGCATGAGAATAGTTAAACTCCATGAACTGAGATCAGCTCTCTCAGCCAGCACAATAGAGCCAGGGAGCAACCTGGTCCACTGGGGCGAGCACAGGGGCTGGGGCCAGTCCTAGCTCTGCCACAGACTTATTGTGCAGCCTTGCGCAACTCACTTCCGTCAGATTATCAGATGTGCTGAGATGCATAGCTCCTGTTAGCTCCCATCAGATGGCTCAGGCCCTTTCAGAGATGGGAATAATCTCTCCCTCCCTCGTTCAGGGGCTGCGAGGATGAATTAGATCATCTTTCTGTGGAATGTTGAGGACCCAATTCTGTGCACAGTTTTGCATCTGTATTTGTGTATGTGGTTGCAATTGCACATGTAAATGGGGAATTGTGCGCACAGTCAAGCGTCTTGCAGGCACAGTCCTGATGCCTGAGCATACATGCGCAGTTCCAGGCACAAGCAGACCTCTCATCTTTGTAAAAATGTAGGGGGAATTTTCAATGGCTCAGAGAGCCTTAGGGTGCTAAATTAGGCTCCTAATTGCCATTTGAAACGTCTCCCCTTCAGGCCCTGAATGTGAAGTGCAGTTAATGCTGAGCAGCTTCCTTCCTTCCGGGAATGGAGTGCAGCTCGCCCCAGGACATGGGCTGTGATCTCAGCAGTCAGGGGGCTAGGGAGGGAGAGGTGTTAGTCACAGCAGTGGAGTACGGTCTCCTGGGGTCCTGGGCCAGAGCAATTGGGGGGCCCCCAGTGCCAGAACTGTGGCCCCAACCCACCCCTTCCGCCTGCAGCCTCGCCCCCATTCCACCCACAGCCCTGCCCCATTCTGCCCCTTCCCCCACGGCCACACCCCACGCCCACTCCTTGCCCCCCCTCCACTGTGACCCTAAGACCGGAGGAGCTCTGTGCTGCTGCTGGGGCCACGGCGGGGAGCAAGAGCACTGGGGCCACAGCAGGGGAGATTTTTCCTGCGGCCCCTGGGCACGGCCCCATGAGCCTGTGCAGTAATCCACCTCTGGTTAGTCAGAGTCAATGAGATGGGAGGGTGTTTCTCAGGGGCAGAAGGAGTGTTATGTGTTGATTCTGTGGCTTCACCAGCATACTAGCCTAGTGTGTAAGCGTAAAGACACAGCAGGGATGCATGTTTCACCCTTGGCAGGGTATATAATCTACTGAGAAAAATCTATGCTAATAACGGAGGCTTTGTTAATGTATTTCACTGGATTGATTGGCCTGTCCATTAGGAACTTATTTGGCTTTGATTTCCTGGGTTTCTGAGTACTTCACACTTCTGGCTTTTGTCTCTGTCATCTGTTGATAGCACTGTGGGTGTGGGTGTGACCTGCACAGAGAAATGGGGACGCACAAGGAATAGAAACATGCAGCCCTGGGAAGAGAGGGTGGCAAACTCTCTTCAGCTTCTTTGTTCCACAAGGGACTTGAATAAAGACGTTGCAGCCCAAGTGTGTGGCATAGTTTGACTTTTAGCCTAATAAGTTGATGCAGATTTCTTATCGAAGCCCAGAGACCACCAAAGGCCTGGCAGGCTGGGTGAGAGGGCTGAGAGGCAGGGTCCCAGAGCAATCAGAGGGGTGGAGGTGAGCTGAGTGGTGACTGCACAGCACCTCAGAACAATTGTTTCATGACTGTGAAAAGCATGTACTGACAGTAACAGTGTGAAGCTGTGCTCTCTGCCCATGTAGCACAGGGGGCTGGCAGGGGCCAGGGAGTGTGGGTTTGGACGGAAGTCCCACATGGCCGTGGGGTGCATGCGGGGTGTGTTTGATGGAGTCGCCGGGTGCCTGTACAGGGTGTTTATGGGGCTTGTTGGGCAGAGGTGCTGCCTGCCCAAGGGGCGGCTGTGGGGACTGGGATTCAACAGAGCTGCCCTGTGTCCTGCAGGCATGGTGGGGGGAGGCTTGTTTGGCAGGAATACTGTGTGTCCCTAAAGTGCAGGAGGGGTGTTTGGCGGAGGGGCCGTGTGCCCGTGCAACACGTGGGGGAGGGGGTGTTCGGCGGAGGGGCCATGCCCCGTGTGCGGGGGAGGTTGAGTCCGTCCCCAGGGTCTCAGCACGGAGCAGCGTGGGAACGCCAGCAGGAGAGGGAACATGAGCGTCTCGCTGGGGTTGTAACTCGCCGTGCCGGGTGGGGTCACTCCAGACTCCAGGAAGGGGATGGTTCGTGCTCGGCTCGGCTCCCAGTGACGGAGGACTAGGTGGGTGCTGCTGGCCAGCTTCAGGCAGACGTGTCTCTGGGCTCTGCCTGGAAGGGAGAGCCACACACTCGGCTTAAACACCTTCCTGAGACTCTGGCGGGCCTGGCCAGAACCCAATCGTTCAAAACCTCCCTCTTGTTCTCTGTTGGGTGCTGTAAAGGCCCAGGCAGAGCTCATATCCCCCTAAAGACTCATAGTCCAGTGATTGCACCCAGGCCAGCCGCTGGCCATCAGGAGTCCACTTCCTTCCTTCTGCTGATCCTGGGGAGGAGAGGGCAGCGGAGGGCGGGGAACCTCACCCAAGACGGGGATGTGGATGGGGCCTGGCACACTGGTCTGGGAGGCTGTTCTGTCCACAGCGATGGGAGCTGGGGAGGCACTGCGGGAACAGTGCAGCTGGAGCGAAGAGGCCCAGGGGAGACGAGAGATGCCCTCCAGGTGGAGGTGGAGGAGTCACAAAGACAAGGATCTTGAACTGGATTCAGGGTACAAAGGGAAGGCTGTGGAGGCTCAGTGGGGGAGTGATGTGCTGAGTTCTGGGGGGGCCGGAAGAGAGTCCAGGCAGGAGATGGCTAGGGCCTGGATAACTGCAGGAGCTGTTGGACAGTGGGGTGGGTCTCACTTTCAATACTAGTACATGTTGTGCAGGAAAGAGCCCGGCAGGCTGGGGAGAAGCAGAGGATGGCCCTGGGTTGTAAGTCTGAGTGGCACGGAGGAGCGTGTCAGGCTGCAGCCTGCTGGAGGTCACTGCATGCTCAGAGAAAGCTGACTCAGAACAGAGCTAGAGGCCACTGACCTCTTTGCTGCGTGCAGAAGGGGCTGGCAGGAATCCAACTCAGCAGCCCCTCTTGGGCCAGGTCTGGGGAGAAGGGTTTGGTGCGGTGGCACAGGGACATTGTGGGGGCACAGCTTTGGGTGCTGGTATTTGGGCATTGTACAGTGGCACTAGCAGTGCTCATGTCTGGACCTCAGTCACGAACCGCAGTGCCGGCTAGTGCAGAGGGAGCAGCTCTAAATGTCCAGGTGATGGTTGGGAGAAGCAGCAGTTTGTGCTGCCCCCAGGGAGTAGGAACGAGGGAGCAGTGTGTCTCCCAGCAACGAAATGAGGTGGCAAAGATGGAACACCAGCCAGGAGACGAACCTGCAGGGCCATGGATTGAGGAGTCCACCGAGTTTTTGTCCTGCACTCACTTCAGGAGAAAGCTGCAGTGAGGCAGGCTGGAGTCTGAGGGCTGGGGCTGGGAGGCTGAGCACTGAACTCCCCCCTGAAAAGTGCTTGGGTAACAGGTGTGAGAGGGGCCAGTCACTGATCCCCGGGATGCCCATGTCCGGCGTCTGCTCCCTCCTGCCGGCACTAGGGCTGCGTCCCAGAGCACCTGATTCCCTTTGGGTGTGTGTGTGTGTGTGTGTGTGTGTGTGTGGCCGTGCGTATCCTGCGGCTGTTTCAGGTCAGATTCCAGTGCTCTGACTGGGCCCGATGGAGAAATGCAGTGTGACGCTTTTGGCCATGGGTGCACAGGACTTACCCTGGGCCCAGTGCTGTCCACTTGGCTTAGGGGGATGTTGGGCTTTCTCAGGGTCACTCTCACGGCTGAAGGACGCAGCTGTGTCTGACTGAGGCTGTAGCTCCCAGTCATCAGCCTGCTGGCTCCCAGCCCAAGGGGAGGGAGCTGTGCCCCCTCAGGGAGGCTTTCATCTGTATGGGGCCTTGCGACTAAGGGCAGCAAGCACAGGTGTCTGCCCAGTGCTCCCTTTGTCGTGTTTGCCTTTTGATGCCATCTCAGATTAATTGGTGCCTAGCGCCAATGTAAATCTTCCTGCGGCTGCAGGCGAGTCTTAGTGGGTCTCACGTTCGCCTGCACACAATCGCTGCACACAAGTATGTAATTAAGTGCTTTGAAGAGCACTTTGGGACATTTGATTCTGTAGAGAAACTCCATAGAAATGTAAGCTGTTGTCTGCAGCTGGTTCGCCCTGCGGTTTCTCTCATTGTTGTGTGTGGTGTGTGACTGAATGGGAGAATCAAACCAGGGAGGAAAGCGGCTCCTGGAATACCAGCCTTTCCTGGGCAGGCAGAGGGACTGGCTTAGGGGAAGCTAGAGTGATGCCAGGGCAATCCACTTGCCTTTCCAGTTAACCTCTTGCTTTCCTTCTGTCCGCAGGAGCTGTCAGAGCATGACCAGTCTGTTCAGCAGCACCATGTGCCCTGCTAAGGATGGAACATCCTCTCTTCCTAGGAGGCAGAGCACCTTCTCCAAACCCCCGCTACGTGCGCTCTACGACCTGTTGATAGGGCCCATGGAAGGGGTAAGTGCCTTGGTACAGGCAAAAGTTGCAAAGTCCAACTTACCAAAACTTTCTGGGGCCTGGAAAGGAAGAGGCTAGATAACTCATGGCTTGGGAACAAAGCACAGAACCTTTCACCGGTGGGTGCCTGGTTCCAGCGTGGGCCACCTGGATGACTGGTTAGCTCAGGGAGTTGGTTATATGGAGCATTGCTGGGTTGAATCCAGGAGAGGAATAGCGACTGCACGTACTTCCCATGGGTGGCTGTTCAGTGGACCCGACGTGAAATGAGTTTGGTGGATCTCAGTCCAGTTCCTAGTGGGAGACGTGTCCATAAGTCCAGCACCACCACTTGGTAGCCTCAGCAGAGAGGCCAAGGGCGGATTGTTTCATAAAGAGTGAACTCTCTTCTCACCCCCAAGGAGATCCCTCTAGGACAGGGATCTCAGGGAGTGCCACATTGGTGGGGAAGCTTGCCCTGGTAATGCCTATGCTGTATCCATTCTTAGGATAAAGAGTGCCTCAGCGTCCCAGGCTCTCAGTCCAGGACCAGTCACTGTTACCTCCTCCTGTGACTTGTTCCCAGACAGAACCCAAACCCTGCCGGCGTATCTGTTCCCGCATACAGCGATAGAAGAGCCCTCTGCCCATCCTCTTCTCTGTGCTTTCCACTGCCTGGGGCTGCGAGTGCCGCTGCATTAATGCATTCACTTACCCCAGGCTGGGGCGCTGTCTGAAATGCTGAGGGTGGGGGTTGTGCCTGTGGGTTTCCATGTAGGATTCCCACATGTTTGACTCATCTTGGTCTGTTCTGGTGGGTCTTGGGCCATGGGTGCAGAGTGAAACATTTTTCTTGACCCACCAGAAGGAGGGGCTGGGCGAGGAGATGGGATCTGGAAAAGGGGGCAGTCTGGCTACAGGATGATCTGCAGAATGGAGTAGCTGCAGGTTGAATTCAGTCCTGGCTCCCTCAGTGGGGAGCATCAAGAGCTCAGGCCTGCTTGCCAGGAGGGTCCCCAGGCCCCTTTCTAAGGATGCTGGTAAGCGTGACATCCGCTGACTGACTGAACGTCCTGTGTGGAGCACTCCCAGGCAGCTTGTCTCTGCGGGGGGGGGGAGGAGGGGGCTGACTATTACTATCTTCTTAGGGCTGGTCCCCACTTAGTCCGGACTTCGGACTAAGGTACGCAAATTCAGCTACGTTAATAACTTCGCTGAATTCGAAGTACCTTAGTCCG